TTCTTAGCCGCTGTTAGAGCCAGGGTATTATTAGTATTTAAATCTTTGAAGACTGTTCTCGCCTGGGCTAATCCTACTCACCCGGCATTCAAACATCTTGCTCCTGTGTCTCCTCCTGCACTTTGCTTGTCCCGGCTGCTGAAGCTTTGGGGCAGCCACCATGGCTGCCTCTCCCACCATCGCTGGCACAGAGGGCAATCCTCCGGCCCCGAGGAACCTGCCCATTCCTCTCAGCCATCCAAGGGGTCCCTCTCTAATCCCCTGTCCCTCCAGGACAGGGTAGGTCCGCAGACCTGCCGACGGTGGTTTAAAAGACGGGGTTTTCACGGGGCTTCAAAGAGCCCCGCTATTTCCTGTCCACTTGCCGCAGTGCCAACCGGAAGTCCTCTATTGAAAAACATTGTTTGAAGTGACATCAGGTGGTTCAAAACTTTTGCCTGTGGTATTACTAAAACTTTGAAATATGTCCTAGCAGTTCTATTACTATTGTATACTATCATCTTAAGCAAGTTAACTCAGAAGAAAGGAGTGAAGCATTCTTTTTAGCGAGTGTTTTAAGGATACAAATATTCAGTTCACAGGTAAAGGCAAAAATATTGCAGTAAATGGGAAAAAACCTCCAAAATCTTTCCTTCTTTTCAACAATAGAAAAAAATACTAATAAATTGGATAAATAAAGATTCTCTGCCCATTAATTGTGTCTAGTTTCTCCTATCTGAGATCACTTCATTCAACATAATAATAGAAAAAAGAATTGCCATTAACTAAACTGCGGAAAATTTTGAAGTAATTTTTCTGGGTACCCAAATCTCAAAGAATTCTACCTGAAAACCTGACTTATTTAAAAAAAAAAACAAGTTGTTAATTTCTTAAATTGGACCTTAATAATATAGTCATAATGAATCAATTATACATACGTTTCAAAAACAAAAAAGTCAGTGTGAGAATTCTAAAACTGGCTTTAGCGATATTATATTTTAGAGATATTAGATATTATAGATATAAGCACTTGTTTCATCTTCAAGAATGTCCCAGTGGAAAGTGACCCAATGCCCATATCCATAAATGGCTGATTAGTCATTCATTCATTCATTCATATTAACTCTTATAGAACTGTTTTATGAAGCTTGGGGACAATCCCAGGGGGTAAAGTGCCATTCTTGTTAAAATACATTAATGAACTCCCTATCTCTCTTAAGTATATCCCCTCTCACAGTGATTTAGAAATCTGCATAAAATCACATAAGCAACCAAAGCAACCTTCAGCCAGTGCAATCACTTCTCAGCAGGAGAACTCTCTTCCAAGAACGAATTCTGTAATGAGAAAGTAATAGCTTGATTTTTAAACAATATTGATCTTTTAAATCTCATAATTGCTGAGTATTTAGCAGTGTCTGAACAATGTGATGGCTCAGTCAAGCCTGATAACAGGGAAAAATTTAATTTTAGAAGGATGTGGAACTAGCAGTCCTCACAATTTTAATGCCTTCTCAAGGATGAGCAAACCAGCCAATTGCCATATGATACAATAAACATGTGTTCTACATGTATGTATTCCATATTATTAGTTTAAACTATTGATTGTGAAGGATGGCAGTAATAGCACCATTTAGATGTGTCTGTAGATTTATTTAGGCATGAAAGCATGGGAAGTTGACATGCCACTTAGTATGATTTTGTATCAGATTCAGTCAAAGCCTGATTCTCTGATAAGAGAATGTCATTAGAATATAAGAATAATTTTGTACCGACATGCATGTACCCAAAATTGAGCATACGGTTCTAATCTGCCCTGTTCCAGGTCTATGAAACTCCATTCCTGATTTGTTTTATTTTTATTTTTATTTTTTGGAGCTACGATGTGGTGCAAATGGCTACACCATGCATAAGAAGATCTTTGCAGAGGGGAGAAGGCAAGCCTGCCTGAGATCAGTAACTTCTTTTTATCAGTCTAATGACAATGTCTAGAGGAAGGAAGAAATCTTGGAAGAATAAGATTGGTAGGTCAAATGAAAACTAGGTGTACAAGCTTTGCAAATTGACTCTAGATCCTAGGATACTAGGATAGTTTAGACCGAGAAAAGGTTGGGTTTTCCTATATCTTACTGCTAAGTGTCTTGAAAGAATAGTGGAGAAGTCATCTTCGCCAACATGAATGTTGGTCAGTGGTAGATACAAGGTAGTCCTTGTGTTACAAGAGCAATGGGGACTGGAACTTCTATTGCTAAGTCAGGGATCTGCAACCCACAGCTCTGGAGCCGCATGTGGCTCTTTCATCCCTCTGCTGCAGCTCCCTATCGCTCAAAACATGTATCACAACCACCAATGTGGAACACCCGCTGGCAAGCGATTTATTGAGCTTTTTGACCCTTTTTTTTTTCAGAGTTCAAAATATTTTTGTTGCATGCAGAAATAAAAATTTGTTTTCTCTGTAGCAGTTCATTGATTACAGAAATGTAACACACTATAGTTTTTTTATACATAGCATAAAGGTAAAAAATGATATATGCAGCATTATCTTCATTTTAGATGTCAAAAGGTTTTTGTGGCTCCCGGTGTTTTCTTTTCTGTGGGAAACGGGTCCAAATGGCTCTTTGAGTGTTTAAGATTGCCGACCCCTGTGCTAAGTGATGCAGCTATAAAAGGCTATATATCATGTGACTGCATCACTCAGCAGTGGCAATCCCACAATCCTTATTATCATTGTAACCGCAGAACTGTATAGGTTGTTAAGCAGGAAGAGGAGGGAGTCCCAGGCCAGCAGATTGGTGAGTGCTGTAGGGACCAGGCAGATACCGCAGGCAGGCACTTTGGAGCATAGGCAGGTGCTGCAAGCAGGAGCCATAAATCATGGGCAGTTGTGTGGATACTATGAGGGGTGAGGGAGTCACACAGACAGGTGCTCCAGGACACAAGCATGTGCATAGGGGCTGCAGGGGGTGAGGGTGGCATGGGAAAGTGCTATGGAATTTGAACAAACAAAAAAAATGATGGGAACAGTGTCAACTTCTGACTTCTACTTTCTTTGAACAATTTACTTACTTTTCTCTGAACAAATGTTGTCACTCGAGGACTACAGTACCCATAGAGCAAATAGGAACCTAGCCTGCCTGAAAGATGATTGGTGATAAGAGATTATGGTAGCAGTGGTGTATCTAAGTAACATTAGACCCTGAATTTAACAGCCTTATGAAAATAAGGGAGGAGTTTTAGCCAACTATTTGCACTGAATAGGATATAACCAATATTTTGTTATAGAAATCTATCTTCTAGAACTTTAAAGAATATTATCACTTTGCTATAAATTCTAGTAAGATAAAGGCCTCTAATTCTGTACTTGGTTAGTTAGCAATTTGCTGGGGTCAGATTCCAATATGAGATTATTGTGAGAAAACTAAACATTTTGCACATTTACAAAATGCACATCAAAAGATTTTATCAGCAACTTACCATAAAATGAAGTGCTTGCACTTTGGTCCTGCTTTTGTTCTATTCGTACAACCTAAGTTATTTTAAATCAGCTTGTGATCTATTTGTCCGATTCTTTCATGCTTACTTGCTGGGGTGTGGGAAGACAGAATATTTGAACTAATGTCAAGGTGGAAGAAAAAAAAGAGTTTAAAATATTGCTGATATGGAATTTCATTGCATAATTTACTAGGAAGAAAACTCTAGCAGAGAGGAGGGAATCAAAACACTTTGCACCTTTTTAAGGTGCACATAATTATTAGCACACTCTTTGCTACAAACTTGACAAGCGATAAAGCAAGGCTTCTAAGAAAATTTTTAGGTCTTTGACTCACCAAGCAGCTTAAAAGTTCATAGGCTAGAAAGTCTTTTCTATTTTCCTTGTGAATAAACTGTAAAATGTCTTTGAAAATTACTTTTTTAATTACAGTTGACATTTCTGAACCTCCTGCTGATGGTATCTCTCTCGAAAAAAAGACAATGATGACAAAAATAAAGCATGATTCGCCACAATGGGAATGCAAATGGCAAATGTGGGATAGACTGCAAAACAATTTGAAACAAACTATTTCTTTATGAATATACTTTTTTCTATCTATAGTATTACTCAGTATATTACCTTTCATACACTACTAAGTTTAGCTTTCCCCAATACAGAGAATAAAAGCAGATACATAAAATAAGTGTCAGTACCTAATGGCAAGGGGTAGTTTTAGTCACAAGGAGGGAGTCGAAAAAGTAAAAAAAAAAAAAAAAGACAAACACAACTTTTCAGTTGAAGTCATGCAAAACTTTAATTACATGATAGTGGCCTCCATCTTGACTTTTTTTACCTTTCTGGGGAGCACTTGTGGGTGATGATGATAAGATTTCACTGGCAGCCTTTGCAAGGACATAGAATGGGTGACCTTAGTAGATGTGAAGCGATGAGATTTAAAATGGTTCGGCAAAATTTTAACTCACCCTCAAATCAGGAAGCAGCCAAGATTTTGTGAAATTCCAGAATGATGGATAGTAAAACATGTCAGTATAATTGTGACATTTAACTCAGCATCCCCTAATTATTTTTATTTCATTAATCTATGGCTTTGTTGCCATTATGTGTGTGTTTTTTTTAAAAATGGATTAAGTCCATTTCTCTCTCTCTCTCTCTCTTTCCCCCTCCCTCCCTCCCTCCCTCCCTCCCTGCCTTCATTTTTATTTATAATATTTTTATGCCACTCATCTCACTGTCAGGCAATTCCAGACATCTTACAACATCATAAAAACAAAAATGCAAAACATTAAATGTTAAAATTATCAGACATTAGCTAAGAAATCAGAATGCAAAGGAATGGAAGTGGGATATTCTTTCTAATCCTAGTCCACTAATCATCTTTACTGTGGAACGTCTCCACAAGAGTCCTAGGCCAATCAGCACAGCCAAGTCTCAAGTCTTCTTTGGAAAGCCAAAGGTTGGGGGGGAGGGCAGATTTCACCTCAAAGGGCACAAAAACCCAGAGATCTGGAGCCACTGCAGGAAAGGTCCTGCTCCTGTAATATTGGTTAAACCTGAAAGAGAGGCAGATTATCTGCAAGCCATGAAATACTATGATATCAGGCATTTCTTCACAAACTTTTAGGTTTACTCCTGCTTTACATAAGTCTTGGGCAGCTGCAAAAAATTCTTCCTAGCTTGGCTGACCTAAATATCATTTTTTTAAAAAAATATATTTCGTATTTCTAAATTGCCCATCTCCCTCAGAGTCCCAGATGGCAGGCTTGAACCAAGGGCCCCAAGCTCTTTCTTTTCCTTGTTCAGAAAACACAGACAGGACAACACAAAGTATGTAGTATAGTGCTGCTGGGAGCTATTTTTGTACCCCCTCACTTGTCAAGGTGAGAAAACTCCAAGTAAGATGATAAAGCAATGATGTGAGGCAAAGTTGTGGGCCATTGGAAGACTGTTCCCAACTATATGGGAAATATTCTGCATCCTTAGAAGGATGAAATCACACCGTGATTTAACTTTTAACTTTCTTTCCATGTTCATTGTCATCTGGGATTGCCAGCTTTGTGTTTTGATATATAGTGGTTAAGGCACCAAGTTAGAAATCAGGAGATCATGAGTTCTTATCCTGCCTTAAGTATGAAAGCCAGCTCTGAGACTGTCAGATGCTCATAGTCCTAGGAAAAAAGCAATGGTAAACTATGCCACTCATTTCATTTAAATGACATTCCTCTCTCCCCTCCCCAAGGGGGAAAATGGAGATGTCAATTGGCTCCCCCTGGAAAGATCATAATCGAGGTTTGTTATTTTATGCTAGATTCACCTCTTCAGATTAAACAGTACTGAAGCTGGAAGGCCCATTTTACCTCAGTACCGGTTTTTATGCTTCTATTCATATGAGCAATCTATCATAATAAAGATTATAATCTATCAAGAATTTTGGCTGCCCAGTTGGCGTTTCAATCTGAGTTTCTTCCAAGTGTTTTGCTGAATAATCTAGGCAATCTGAGTGGAAGGATTTATTTTGTTAATTCTCTGATTTCCCAGGCCTCATTACCTAACCGGCTTAAATTTTCCTATCTATCCAACGCCTGCTTATTCCAGTCTGGACTATCAAAAACATGTGTTTACTACCATTTTAGCAACGGGGCTACTGCTTCAAATGTATTGTCTGGAATAACTTTCATTAGTATTATAGTGCTATAACAGTCATGATTATCATAGCAAAATAACAGTGAATGAGGGGGAGGGGTTTCCAGTACATTTTATATGCATATTAGTTACTGTCAAGAATAGATGACGTTGCTTCTGCCATGTTAGGATATATATATAAAAAAAGATATGAATACCAAAACAGATATATCACAATTAAAAAAAAATAAAATTAAAAACCACAAGCCCTCAAAAATATCATTCCCAATTTGAAATTCTGGCCTTATGTATGATATACCACTCCCCCTCCTGTTTCCTGTCCCATTTTAAATGAGGCTTCTAGTTTTCTAAAGGTCCATTCCTGCAGAAAAACCTGACTGGAATTTAGTTCTTCATTTTAAGAAGTATTTCATCATCATTTTCACATGTTAAGTTCAAGCTGGAAATCTATTGAAATACTCACTAAATATACACTTTAAGTGAAGTATGATATTAAAGATAGCATTAATTACAGCTTTGAACAAACTAGCACCCACCTAAAAGCATACCTCTTAGAAAATATAAAGTAATAGTATTAAGAGCACTGGTGTGGACAAAATATAATGGGATATACATAAAGAAAAAGCACAATAAACCAATAACAGTGAGAAAAATCAATTGCAATTCCATTTGTAACTTACAACAGAAGAGCATTGATGTATTAACACAAGAAAGTTACAGTCTGAAGCACTCAAAGAAACACACAATGACTTATCCCTTGTCATTGGATCTGTCTACACCATCTAAAATTAATCTCTACCTTTTCTAATATAAAAGCTGCCATGTGTCTCATTACTTCTGTTCTCTGCCTAATAGTAAACCTGTGTGTTTCACTTAAGGAACAACTCCTAGGTGTTATAATTTCAAAAATGAGGGGTCAGCCAATAACTTTTTCTTTGTCCCAGTCTTTCAACAAACTTGGATGAAATCTGAAACTTGCATAGTTCTTAAAATCTAATCTATTTGCTGTCATTTCCTTCATTCTTTATGAGTGGAGCTTAATACTGATGTGGTTTCTTCTTCATACAAGCCTTTTTAAATTTCTCTACCTGGTTTCTTTTAATAACTTTAAGCTGTCAAAGAGCTTGGTGTGATAGTTGGGTACAAATTAACAAAACTTTTGCCTGTTTGGATTTGAAAGTTTGAAAATATTCAAAAACGTAGGAGAAACTGTATTGTATACTGACTTGTCCATGAACACCTTTAGTCAAACTGCTGGATAGGCTACTATCACTGTTTTGAATGAAGAAAAAAAGAAAATATAATCCATGAAGATTAAAATCAGTCCCCCAATACCCAAAAGCCAGAAAAAAATTATCATATTCCCTTTTTAACAAAACTGTCAGCCTACATATTTATCAACAAATCAATCTGAAATGCAATAGGTAATTATACTAAGATGATTTTGAAATAAGCTACTGATGATAAATAATACATTACAAAGATATTATTTAAAAGCAGATAATTAAAATGAAAGAGTAAAAATGTTTATCATGCTAAAAATTAGTTTTGCTGGTCTAGAAGAGTTTTACTAATCCTACAAGAGATTTGATCATTCTAGTATTATTGAGTTATTTCAACAATGCACTCTACAGAATAATTCAATCTTATCTACTTTCTCCATATTATGCATGACTTTGTATACCACAATCATATCCCCCCTTCCATCTTTTTTTAAAATGAAAGAATCCACAATATTCTAAGCTTTAAGGCAATCTTCAAGCTCACAATCATCCAAATTGCTGTCTTCTGTACTTTTCCTCACTTATATCCTTTCTCAAATGTGGTGAATAAAACTGTTCACGCTACTGCATATATAGACATGTTTTAGATTTTATAAAGGCATAACAATGTTGGCGGTTACACTTTCAGTCCATCATTGGTAATTCATAGCATGGAAATTGTTTTCTTTTGTTTTTCACAGCTGTTGTATATGGAGTTGAGATCTTCACTAAGCTTTCCAACGTGACCTCCAAGATCTTTTTTCAGATTGGAGACAGGTTAAGTCCCCACCATTGTGTATGTGATGTTTATTTGAAAGTTTTTGGTGAGGAAATTTGTCAAATTCTTTTTGAAAATCAAGGTATATATAGTATTAAAAGAGTTACACCAAATTACGGAAGATTATGGAGGAAGTTAAACAGATGTTTCCATGTTGATCTTCCTTCAGCAAGACTAATTATTCTATACCAGGGGTCCTCAAACTTTTTAAACAGAGGGCCAATTCACAGTCTCTCAGACTGTTGGGGGGCTGGGGGGAGGGGCATGGTGGGGATGGGGCCTAGCCAGGGTGGTTGTGACTGACTGGGCATGGCCCACTTGATGTTGTTCGTGGGGGTGGTGCCTGTGGGTTTGGGTGGGGTTGAGGAGAGAATCTAGGAGTCTCCGGTGGGTGGGCAGTGGGCAGGAGGCTCATCCTGCAGGATGTGAGGCAAAGTAGGGGGCAGGATAGCTACAGCTGGAAACCTGTTGGCCACCTTGCACTCGCCGTCCTTTGTATGTGGGGGAATGGTTTCCAGCTGCTGTCCCCTCAGCTGGCACACTCTGTGGCACCAGAGCCATTGCCAGCACCAGGCTGGCCGTCCAAGCAGCAAGCGGAGGCAGAGGGGAGGAACGTGATGCGGACTGCTGGACGTGCTTACTCCATTCCACGTCTGTTTTGGCTTGCTGTTGGAGAGCAGGTAGCCGCTGGTCTTCTCAGCTTCTTCATGGGTCTTGCCCTTGGCTTGCATGTGGAACGTGTTCCCCTCCCACACCTGACTGCATAGGCGGATGCACGAGAGGGGCCCTTTGCCAGCAGGCACTGCAGGAAGTGGGGTAGGGCACGGCATTTCCCCATCTGCTACCAGATCCAACAAGTGGCGCCCAACCAGGCTTACCTGAAGAGGGTGGGGTAGGAAGCAATGCCCATCCCAAGGCTGGAGGAAGAGGGCCTTTGAGCCCCAGGCACCAGTTCAGGCAGCGCTCTGCTGAGTTTCCTGCTTGTGCAGAGGGAAGCCCCACTACCCCCGAACCATGCCTTCCTGGAACGCCAGCCGAGCAGGAAATTTGGCTGCAACCCTCAGTTTGGAATGGAGATGCGGAGGGGGTGAGCTGCTTTCAGTCCAGGCAAGGGGCTGCAGCCTCGGGGACACATCTGAAGGAGCTATTTCGGTCGGCAGCACCTCAAAAGTGGTCTGGAGCTGCTGCCTCACAGGACAGGGTGGGACTCGGCTCTCCCTGCCAAGCAGTCTGGTGAAGGAGGCATGTCATCAGGAGTCTCTACCCCTGGCAGCTCCTGCCAGCCGAAGGAGGCAAAGCAGCCAGCTAGAAAGACTGAGTAGAGGTGGTAAAGTATGTTCAGGCCCAGCAGGCAAAAAATGGCCACCGTGAGTGGGGAAAGCCAGATCCCCATCAGAGCTCTGGCTGCCAGGCCCAGCAGAGATGGGGGGGCTGAGGCAGCTGGGCTTGCAGCCATAGCAATGATGAGGATTGAGCTTTTTCCGCTTGCAGTGGCTGTCTTTTGCCTGCTGGGAATGTGCGTGCTTTTACCACGTGCTCCATGCATGGGTCAAGGACAAGACTCCCGAGGGGGCCAAGGAGATGACCAGTAGTGACCTGCTCTCCAATTACAAGCCAAAAGAGATGGGACAGAGTAGGCATCAGCAGCCCCACACCCTCATCACCTTGTCTTCACTCGCAGTGGCAGCAGTAGCCAAAGGCAGAGGCACAGGGAAGAGGCATACGGTTCGGCCTGCTGGATGCATTGGGCAGCCACCTGCCCTGTCTCAGCCACATAGGATGGAGCAGGTCCACATCACGTGTCTCTCCCCCCACTCTGCCTGCTGCCAGTGCCAATGCTGCCTTGCTGGCCACTGCTCCAGAACTGCCAAGCACTGAGTGGGAGAAGGACAGGCAGCCAAGCGGCAGGGGGTGGGGGGAATCAGGTAGAGGAGGAGGCTGTTGCAGTGCCCGCTCCCTAGCTCACTTGCGTCTTGCCAGCCCGCCTTCACCAACAGGCACCCACCAGCTTGCAGGAGCCTCTTTTGGGCTGGGAGTTCCAGGGCTGCCATGGCTACTTGCCCACTTGGAGCGCGCTGGTTGATCCCTGCCCCGAGGCCGGGGATGGATGGACGAAGACCGAGCTAACAGGTAGAGGTGAAAGGTGCAGTTTTCCCCTCCCGGGGCCTCTCTGTATCCCATTTTTCACCTCCCCTGCCCCCAGTAGCACTCTGCAGGCCCAAAAACAGGCCCATTTTTGGCCACCCTCACCTCCAGTAGCACTCTGCAACCCAAAAACCAGCCTGTTTTTGGCTTCCTGGGGCATCCACATGCCCCCTTTTTGGCCTCCCTTGTTTCCAGTAGCACTCTGCAGCCCAAAAACGGACCCATTTTTGGCCTCCAGTAGTACTCTGCCAGCGAAAAATGTTGGCCTTACCTTCCAGTTCCAGTTCGCAGGGCTCGCAAAGGTAGGTCCTGTATTCGGCTGAAGGGTAGGGGACAGCAGGTCAGCGGGGCAATGGAGGCAGGGCAGCCTTGTGGTCCCCTCCGGGCCGGATTAATTGTTTCAGCGGGCTGTATCCGGCCCATGGGCCATAGTTTGAGGACCCGTGTTCTATACCATATATGGATATTATGTTTTCTTTTGATTACCACTTCTGCCACTTGGCCTAGAATAGACTTTAAACTCTTTCTTTATAAAAATTTGTGTTTCACTGGTTAGTTTCCAGTAATGCCACACTGAGGCCTATTTGGGAGACAAGCGTCATACTTTTACTAGAAAATCAGCAATTTCAATTATGACAATTTCAGTGTCAATTCAGCATTTAACAACTCTCAGTTGGATGTCTAGGATCTAGTGTGAAATGTGGTCTGGGTCATCTATGAATGGCACACCATGGAAATGTAACTTTTTTGATGATCAAAACTGGTGCATCTACTTTGCTCCAAACGTTGTACATGTGTTGATAATTGATGTGATTGTCAGCCCTTCAAGATAGACTAGATCAAAAAAACTGACTCCACACACAGGAAGATAACTATACTTCATTGAAATAAGATATAGCAACAGAATCTTGCAGGTTTGCTTATGCTTTACTTTCTTATATATCACTGAGACAGGGAGGAACCAGGCTGAGAATCTTTCTAATATTTTCTCCTTTCCCAGGGCTTAAGGAGTGCTTCTATCCTTGTTTCTGTAACAGCTTTTGAATATCCCCTTCAAGATCCTCTCCATGGTTTTCTACAGAGACAGAGTACAGGTTTCTATATAGTATACTGGCAGAAAAGAATCTGGCTGACTTAAATCTGAATACTTAACTAATTTATGGATCAAACTACACGATTACATTTTCACTATGAACTTATATAAGCTTTATGCCTGTTTAACTGTCATGGCTTACCCTGGAGAATCCTGATAATTACAGTGAAACTGACAAAGGTACCAGATTACAGCATAGGCTTTTTGAACTACACTGGCCTTTAGTACAAGTTTCTTTGTCATTTTTACTGCAACAGATTAACACAATTATCCCACTGGAAATTTGTTCAAAATATTGAAAATTCTGCCACCCTTCTCTTACTGTTCAGAATTCCTTGCAGTTATACCGTAGATATAGTTATAAACTTGTTTCACAATTCTTTGCAATCTATTTATGTGTGTGAATGATATACTTGATTGTGTATAGATTAACAATCCAAGCTGATACATAGACATATTCAGAACACATGGCTAGTTATAAAATAGTAACTACGCTGAGTAATTTGGGGCTATGATATATATTTTTCTAGGAAGAATCTGGGGACAGGTATAATGCTCGTATCTAGAAAGCCACAAAGACACACCAATTGCTTCTTTGTTAAAGACAAATCTTCACAACATCTTCAAGGCAGCCTACTGCTGGGAAAATCTGAAATCAGTCCAAGTTGTTCAGGCATAAAATGGTATTTTCCCAGCTATCATGGGATCTCCCCCACACGCATACTAGGTTGAGCACCAGTTGCTCCCATTTCTGCACCAAGCAGCTCTTGTTATAGTCACTCATGTCCTAGTCATTTCTGAAATAGATTCCTGTAACCTGCTGTACATGGGGCTGGCCTTGAAGGATATTAGGAAGCTGCAGCTGGTGCAAAATGTAGTGACACAGGCATATGCGTTCCTCAATCAACATATATTATATCTTGCTCTGAAAGCTGCATTGGTTGCCAATGTGCTTCCAGATGCAATTCAAGGTGTTGGTAATGACCAATAAAGTCTTATATAGCATGGGACCAGATTTGAGTGAACATCTGTCCTGGATTAGGTCTGTCCTTTCCAACAAGATCAGCAGGATCTGCCATGGTTCCTGTCTATGAAAGAGTGCCATCTAGAGGGACCCAAAATGAGGGCATGTTTTGCTATGCTAACTGTCCTTTGGAATGCCATTTTAGATTGGCCTTGACCTATTGGCCTTTAGGAGGGCCCTCAGGACATGGCTTTGCTACCATGCTTGGAAGGGAAACAATAGCAGAGAGCATTTACACTGACTTTGTTGAGCTAGATGCAAGGATGGTTTTTGGCCACTGATCAAGGTTTTTTCCTACATGATTTCTTCTACCCAAAGCCATTTGGGTAAGATGGACAGTTGTCCTGTTCAAATCAAATCAAACCAAAGAAAGAAAAAAATGTGTGGATTTGATTATTCCTGCCTATAATTGGAACCAGGGGTGAAATCCTACTGGTTTGGACTGGTTTGGGTGAACTGCTAGGGATTATGGGCATCAGTTCACCAAACCGGTAGTAATTATCTCTCCTTGGCCCCACCCACGCCCGGCCAGTCGCTGCTCACCTCTTCCGGCCGCTTGATATTCCATCACAGAATTCAATGTTAAATGCAGCAGAGAGAATGCTAACTTTTCTCCCTCCATTCAGAACAAAGCTGCTGCAGCCTGTCCCTTTAAGGTAGTTCCCAGGAGGGAGGGGGCCAGGAGGGAACCATAAAGGGAGCAGCAGCTCCGTTCTGAATGGAGGGAGAAAAGTTAG